GCCTTGCTGGCCCCCACGCGCCCCTCCAGTGAGGTTTGACGTGGCGGGGCTGCAGGGGGGAATCTGGATTCTGCCGCTCACTGGGGGCTCTGTTAGGGCCTGCAATAAAGGAGGTGCCACAGGCCTGGGCTCCGGCATCAGCTTCTGGGGGGACCCTGCGACCCTGCACCTCTTGTGGATTCCCCTGAGCCCCCTTGGGTGCCCCCAGCCCTGTCCAAGGTGGACCTGGCCCCCCGTGTGCCTCATAAACCCCTGGGTTTTCCCAGCCTCCCGGGTGTCCCATAGCCCCCGAAGGTGGCTCTGATCCTTCCTGTGCCCCACAGACTCCCCCCCATGTTCCCTGACCCTCCCCTTCCCAGGTGCTGCACAGATCCCATGGGTGCCCCGTGGCTCCCCCCCCGTCCCCCTGATCCCCTGGATGTGCACCCCACTCTCTCCCCCGGTATTCTGACCCTTTGGGTGTCACATTGCTTTGCTGGATGCCCCACAGCTCTCACAGAGCTTCCCGACCCTCATAACCCCCGGGTACCCCGGACTTCCCCCATGCCTGCCCCACAAACCCTCGTATGCCCCGCAGTCCTCTCTCCCACACGCCTCTGACCCCGTCTGGGACCTCTCCAGGGCTGAGGCTTCTCTTGGGCCCCCTTGGCACCCCCATGGAGCCGAGTGCTGGCTGGCGCCACACACAGCCCTGAACCACCCTATGCACACTGAACACGCATGAAAATACAATGCATGCACACATGCAAACACACACACAGACACACACAAAAGATGCGCTGTGCACACAGGACACAACCACACACAACACTCGCAGCACAAAGCATACACACAACACACACCGCCCCACTCCTACACACAGCACAAGCGCACACGACACATACACAACACACAAGTACATACACACAACATACACACTACCTGTGCCTACATACACAAACAAGTGTTTTCTTGAATTTGGACAGGATTTCATGTGTTTCAGCTTGTGTTCATCACCTCTCATCCTGTCACTGGGTACCACTAAGAAGAGCATGGCTCCTTCGTCTGCGTTCCTCCCTGTCAGTACTCATTAGTACACTGATCAGCTGCCCCTGCCTGAGCCTTCTCTTCTCCAGGCTGAACAGCCCCAGCTCTCTCTGCCTTCCCTCTTAGCAGAGATGTTCCAATCCCTTCATCATCATCAGCCCTTTGCTGGACTCTCTCCAGTATGTCCATGTCTCTCTTGCACTGGGGAGTCCATCGCTGGATCCAGCATTCCCGGTGTATCTCACCAGTGCTGAGCAGAGGAGCCGGATCACCTCCCTCGACCTGCTGGCCACGCTCTGCCTGATGCAGGCCAGCAGGCTGGGGGTCCTGCTGGAGCTGGTCCTGCTGCCCAGGGAGCCCCGAGGACTCCGATGGAAGTGCTGACATCCAGGTGCTGTGCTGCTGCAAAAAGGCAGCCTAAATGCACTCAGAAATTGTAGCTGAGGAGGAAAAGCAGAGCAGCAAGCAGTCTTCCTGATCCTTTTCAATTGCTCCCTTTCCAAGATGTCTCTTCCTCATGTGCCTGGAGTAACTCAGGTGCTGCTTCTCTGGAATTCAGCAGAAAGGCGGTTGGGGGGCCCTCCATGGACTGGTGAGCTCCAGCTCTAAGCCCTGCCCCGGTGAGGAAAAGTCTGCTCCCCGTACACTGGAGGGGGTATTTCAAGGGCTTTTTGGGCACTCCTGGCCTGGCAACTTCCAGCAGATTCACTTCTTCACCCTGCTCCCTCCTGGCCGTGGGAGGAGCTGGGTGAGCTGACCCTCTCAGGAGGGAACGCCCGGGGTCTCTACAAAGACAAGGATTTGATCTCTGCTCTGTTCCTTTCTACCTGGCTCCTTCAGGGCTTGGAGGAGGACTCCAGCCTCTCCATCAGTTCTCTGGCAGCTCAGATCGTCCTGACACTGAGAGAGAAAAAGATCACCACTGTGATTTACCCTACGAGCCTTGCACTACAGACTCTGAAGAGCACAGGAGAGGTGGTGCCCATCTTGGGAACACAGCTCTGAGCAGCAGTCCCCAAGCAGCAATGCCATTTCTGGGATGACCTGCACACTGGGGTGACCTGAGTGTGCTGGGAAGTCTGGGTTGTTCCTGGCATCTCCCCTTTGCCTGCAGGGCTCCACTCCTCCAGCACATCCCATTCCATCACTGTGCTGTTAGTTCACCCCTCTGCTGTGTTTTCCTCTGAGGAACAACTCTGCTTTTCCAACATAGGCTGGCGTCTGTTCTTTGTGAAGGCTGAAGGGAAAAAACCCCAGCCACAAAGGAACCCGGGTCATCCTGAGGGTATTGGGACATCTGTTCTTTCTGGCACCCAGTGGCAATGTGGGTCATACCCAGGTGCTTTATCTCTGAGGCAACGCACCAGTTGATCTGCTGGCTTCACAACAAGGATCAGAAAAGCTGTAGCTGCTCCTGCCATCTCCAGAAGGAGGTGCCAGGACAAGAACTGGCTCTCTGCGGGGCTTGCACATCATGTGCGAGAGGACGGCAGGTGAACAGCCTGCAGCCCCAGAGCTTTTTTTGCCCGTTGCTGGCTATGGTGCGTGGTCCTTGGAGCTGCGTACCTCTTGTCTCAGGAGCTCTGTGGTGAAGTTGAGGGGAACCAGCACAGGGGATTGTCTCCAGGAATGTCAGTCCTTGTTCTAAATGTCCCAAAACCTTAGGAGGTACAAGAGGATCCCTCTCCATCTGGCCTTGGTCTCGACACCGAAAGGAGTTCCTGATAGGATTCGGCCTTGAAAATAAATCACTTCGTTTGCCACTGCTGGCACAGGGAAGGGCATAGGGCCGGCCCCTCACCTGCACCAAGTTCAGCTGATGCGGCTGAGCTCAAGAGCTGCAAGGCTGTATTGCAGGCAAAACAGTGACTTGCAGAAATTTCACTTAATTTAATTTATTGCTAGTTAACATACACTTTTAATTACTGGTTTGGGGATTGAGAAGCACAGACTATATAAAAATTTACATGAGCTCTTAGGGAAATACCTTTCCTGTCCCTTCCCCAGACACAGCTTCCAGCTCTCCCCAAATGGGGTCACAGCTGCAATGAGAGACTTCTGCATCATCCTTAAACTACTGGGGCACAGCCCTTTATCAGCCAGACAAAAAGGCCTTTGCTGCAAGCAGCAGCGGGCCATTCACAGGCAGGGGTCAGCAGAGCTATAATGGCAACAAGTAGCAAAAAGCCAGCATATTCCTTTCTCATTTAGGTGCTCTCATGTCTTGCCGATCACAGCCAAATGTAAATTCCCAAGGTTCTGCCTTACAACACCCCAGGGAGACAGAATCTTTCATCTCTGGAGCTCAGTCCAGGCCTCCTGAACCCTATTTAATGGCCTCCCTTCCCATTTACGTGCTTTTCTCTGGAGAAAAGAGATACTGTCTCAGTCTGACTTTTTCTTTAAAATAACCTTTTTTTGCTTTCAATGTACGTCTTTCACTTTGCAGTGTGTCCTGCAGCAGATCAGTACAGGCTGCATTACAACAGGCAACCAAAACTGCTCCCAAAACAGCACCATATTCGACCAAGAAAGCAACTATAAACTTTCTGGATACTAGCTGAAAGCTGGTATCGGAGTCCTATCTGTTCGAATTTCATGCCCAGAGTTTGCTCTGGCGGTGGTCAGCCTGCTCTTCTCACCTGCGTATTACCAAACAATTAATTCCTTGGCCAGGGACTGGGCTGTTGCTTGTCTAGTATGTGGAAGTGAAGAAAGTAAAGCGCTCTCACATGCCTCACCACGGCTCACACGCTCGCTCTAAGATCACGTTTCCACCACCCAACATTGACAGTGTAAAATGAGAGGTGCTGTGTTAACATTTCCAGCGCTACTGTGGAAATTCGTTTCTGCTTCTTGAAAAGCAATGGCATTTTTGCAGAACCATAGCAGGGAATTGCTGAAACAGGCACTGCAAAAATATTTACTCAGCAAAGTCAATACTGGGCTCCATGGCAGAATGAGTCCTGTGAAACCAGGCTGTTGCTGCATGCCATGCATGCCAAAATTGACATGGAAAGAGCTTCTCTCCAGTGCTATCGCTTGCTCTTAAAACATACCCTGCACAGATACAGCAAAATACAGCCGGTTTCTCTGCAGCATTTGCTCTAATAATTTTTTCCATGGGGTCTTTGTCCCCTGCCTTCTTATAACCAAATAACCCATCCAGACAATGGGGTGAGCTTTCCAACACCATGATAGCTTGAAAAGCTCAGTGAAGAGTAGAAACATTCATAAAAGTCAGACAATATATTTTTAAAATAAAATTTTCTTTTTTTAATGAGCACAGCTCTTTCTGTAAGTTTAGGCATCAATTTTGCTCTTTTTATTGAAAAACAGACTAATCTAAATATTTTGAAGAATTCATCAAAGCAAGGGGAAAACCTTACTTCTTCTAACCCTCCAATATGTTATTTTTTTTCTTCCAGAACAAAATTCCATGGTATTCCTCTCTGCACTCACACTGTTCATATGCCTAAAATAAAGCACGTATTGACTGAGTTAAAAAAAAAAATCCATGAGCACTCAGTTTGAATTTGTCTGGTTTTTCTTCGCTGTATCTCACAAAGAAGAGTCAAGTCCTGTAGGCTGATTTTCTTGGGTTTCTTTGTTTAGCATGAAATCCTGCTGGCGGCATTATGAGAGCAATAGCAACTAGGCTATTATGAGAGCAGCTAGTCCCACATCAGCCCAGAGATCCCTCCTCAAATCACCTTTCTAGGTTGGCTCAAAGGAGGACCTTTTTCTTTTTCATACGACACATATTTAAATGAATGCATAGTTTAAACATCTTAATGGCGATGCCTCATTTCTACCATCACAATTATCTCTGTAAGTCCATATTTTTTTTTCTTTTCCTTTAATGTCCTGAAGAAAATTTGTTTGGAGAGAATAGAGCTATTCCTTTGTCTGTGGTAAATGAAAAGGTCCTGTACCTTGGTCTGAGTGGTGAGGCTGTGGGGCTTACCCTCCCTCGTCACCAAGAAGTGGCAGAACCCATCCTCTCCTTTCTGTCACCAGGGGTTTAAATACTGGGACGTCCTCACCGCTACCCTGTAACAAGTGAGGCCAGAGTCAGGGAAAAGCCACAGCTTTCTGTGAAGGACTGAACTGAGAGGCAGCAAAGAGAAAGGACCAAGCCTCTGGGAGTATCTGGGGACTTTGCTCTGTGGTGCAGCCCAGCACGGCACATGTGGCAGCTCAAAGAACCTCTTATCTCTGCAGCTCGCTCTTGCTGCCTTCGAAGCACGTGGTAATGGCCTAGGAGTCTGGCAGAGCAAATAACCAACCCCAATTTTTTCCACCTACACACAAACCTTGGGACAGGTGCTTGAAGGAATCAGTACTGATGAATGCAAAAACCATACTCCTCTTTCTGCAAATACCTCTATTTCCTTGGCTCTGCTGGGTTTTTTTGTTGTCCTTCTACGTATAGCTCTGGTTTTTTTGTTGTCCTGCTACGTATAAAGAGGAGCCAGAGCAGCCCTTGGCTCAGTCCTGTCTCCAGGCATCAGAGGCAGTTGAAGAAGCATGGTGCTCGATGCACTGTGCAGACTTGCTCATCCTTCTCGCTGCAGCTCCGTACCAGCCGGCGGCTTTCCCCTTCGCTGCCCTCTTCCATCACCTCTGTGCTTTGGGGTGCCACTCTCTGACTGCCCAGTACATGGTCATCACCCCTGCTGCCGTGCCGAGGGCAAGCTGTGCCAGTGGATGCTTTCTAGGGGCTCTCCTGGCCAGAGGTGCAGCGGGACGCGTGGTAGCAAGTCCTCGCTGACTCGGGTAGGGATGTCTGTGTGGCTTGGGCGTGAGCTGTCCCCATTCCCCTCTCTGCAGTGGGGCCAGATCAAGGACATCAAGCACAAAACAGCCAGGCCGGACACTCTGGTGTTGTGAGAGCTGGGTTTAGTGGTGTACCAGGATGAGCACATGGGCAAAGGGAGCAGGGCCGGGAAGAGGCACAATCTCTGGTGAGATTAGGATGGGGGCCAGGCAGGGCCAGCAGCATCTGCTCCAGTCCACTATCCATCCCTCCTTCCAGCCATGATGGCCCTGGTGATCCCTCAGCCCCACGAGCGGTCAAGAGGCAGACTGAAAGGGCACTGTGGAGGCTGCAGGACCCAGACTAAGCCCCACTATCAACACCCCAGCAGGGGTTACAAGCCCCATTTTTTACCAAAAGGCAGCCAAAGGGCATCTGGTCCCTTCTAGGTACATATTCCTCCTCGCTGGGGGCTGTCTCCTTGCTGGCATAGCCATGGGCAGCTATGCTGTGCTGCTCCTCACCCCTACCGCTGTCTCCGTGCTCGTCCTCCTCTCCATCCGTCCAGGTGCTGGGCTTCAGGCCGGAGGCAGGACAGGGAGACCTTTCCCTCCGCAACCTGTGGATGCTGGAGACAACCCACCGCCTGGCCGTCTTCACCCGGACCTGGAACAAGAGCATGTCCCGCTGGCTGAGGAGACTCGCCTTCCAGCGCTGCCCAGCCCAGCCACTCCTAGCCACCTTTGCCTTCTCTGCCTGGTGGCATGGGCCCCGGCCCGGGCAGGTCTTTGGTTTCCTGTGCTGGGCTGTCATGGTGGAGGCAGACTACTGCATCCATCCCTTCCTCAGCGCCTGGGCCACCTCCCAGGGTGTGAAGCTTTTCTACCATGGCACAACCTCGGTCTTCACACAGCTCATTGTTGCCTACATCGCAGTGGCTGTGGAGACAGAGAGCTTCTCCATGCTCTGTCTGCTCTGGACTTCCTGCAATGGCATCCTTCCCCTCTCTATGGCCTTGCGCTGCTGCTGCTGCTTGCCAAGAAGCCAAGGCAGAACTGAGCCTGCCCTGGGCTACCTTATGCGGCTGGTGGGGCACGTCCCCTCACATGTGAGCATGCAGGGTGAGAAGTGCTATTAACCAAGCAATCTTATATAATGGTATCTCCAGAGAACCAGGTTGACTATTGGGATATCCCCCAGCTTCGAGGGATGCTCTGAAGCAGGGAGGCGAGGTCACCAGACCACTGGGCAAGCGGGCTTCTAGCAGCACTGCCTGCCCAGTGTTTGTCTTGGGGCTTTGGGACTCAGCCTCATCTCGTGTAGGAATGACACAGCCTTCCCACCAAACTCATCTGTGCTACAAATGCACCGGTCAGCAACTGTGTCCAGCTCCTGGGAATCTGTCCTCCATGGCGACAGCAGGCACTGGCAGAGAGCTGCCTTGCTACCTTTCCTGTGCGCATGGACCACTGGGAAAGGGGCTGGCAGACTGTCCAGGGGCAGCACAAGACAAGAAACACCCCTTTCCCCACCCAGCAGTACTACCAAGATGCATGGGTCTCTGATGCTCCTCTGGAGATTGCTCCTCAGCACTGTCCCTGTGGCATGTGGACCCCAAACTGTTTTCCCAATTAGATGTCTCCTGCAATCCCCACTCCTCCTGAGTGGGTGACATGCTTGGCTCCCAGGGTGCAGGGTCAGCTGTGTCCCCTGCCAGTCGGGGAAGGGGGATGGCCCATCCCCTCCACCATTCTTGCGGAGGGGATGGGTCATCCCCTCTTGCTGGGCGTGGGGGCAAGAATGCCTGCTAGGAAAAGGGGGGCTACTGCCCATGGCATGCTGAGGACAGCACGAGCAAGAGGGTGTAAGCCAGCAAAGTCCTCAAACGTGGCTGTGGCATTCAGCCAAGGCTTAGGTGTCGCTTTCCTCACAACAGCTACAAAGCAGAAACCCTAATGTGCTTCTCCAGTTCATGCATTGACCTAGGACCCAAAAGCCTAGGACTGTTTATGCTGGAGAAGCAGCATGAACTACCATCGGGGAAAGTACCAGCAGAGCATGGAGCTAAGAGTTTCTGTTTACATGAGAGCAAGAAGCCACCCACCAAATCTCAAAATACTACAGCTGAAAATCCTACAAGACTATTGGTGACCTCTGGGCTGCTGGGCATGCTGCTGCAGGGTACCAGTACCAACACCAGACCCAGTCTCAAGTGCCCAAACTCAAGGGAAAGCATTCTGATCAGGTTAACGTCCTACTCTGTGCAGGTCCTGTGCCAATACCTGTATCAGTGTTTGTCACTATGGTGAAACTCAGTATGCAAAATGGATCCAACCTTGTTTTATGTGGGCTGGTGGGATGTTTGGCTACTTCTTGAGTCCCGCTTTGCAAGCTACTTGCCCCACTTATTATCTCCCCGTTGCCAGCACAGCTTGGATTTGTCATGGCCAGGCCCTGTCTCCTTCAGTGCTGTCCTGCAGAGCTGCCTCCAACTTATTCCCTACATCCACGCTTAGAAACTGAGTCATCTCTTCCTCTTGTCTCTGAAAAACATGCTGGGCTCATTCAGACAGGTTCTCCAGCTATTTAATGACACTGCTGGCCCATGTGAGACCACATGCAGCAAGCCAGGGCCAAACTTTCCAGGGCGATGTGTCCAGGATAGTCCATGGGACAGTGGTTCCCAAGCCACCAGGATCCTGCCACCTATGTTGGAGGGAAGTGGACCCAAGAGTCAGACACAAGAAAGCCAGCGTATACAAAAATCCCCAATGGCCGCAGTTGGAGCCATCCCACATTCTTTCAGCAGGCAGGGACGTGCACAGCCTCTTCCCTAAGGGGATCGCGGGAAATTCATTGCAAATGGGTGCCCAGCCAAGGAACCATCCCCTCCCATCAGCAGCAACCATAGCCAAACAGATAAAAAAATCCAGGTGAGAAGCCTGGAAAAGATTCACAGAAAGTGTACAAAGTGTCAAAAGAACTGGGGAATTAAAATTCCCCCAAGAGCAGGCTGGATCTGGAGGTGAATCAAGGCTGGAGGAAAGCGCTCGTGAATTTCTCCCCATTTTGAGCTGGGAGGGGTTAGCTCAGCTAGTGGCATCCTGTCTCAGCTAAGCTGATGTTAGGCTCTCTCCATGTGTCCCAGACCTACCCCTTCTCCAACTGCTGCAGAACTGCTGCCAGGAGCAGGGCAGCTCATCTCTGCCTCGTATTCGGGTGGAAGAGAGTAAAAGCAGCCCACAACCTTTTGGAAAATCATTTTTTCTGAGCAGCAGCACAGCCTCTCTGCCAAGCTGGGTGGCTCCTATTACATCTGGATGGAGGTAAACGGGGCGGAAGGAGCTAGGCTAGCTTCTCCCTCTTCCATCCTGCTGCTCTTGCCTAGCATGTGTTGGAGGAGCGTGTTCGCAGTACACCAAGCCCTATGCATTCCTAACTCAAACACCAGCAGCAATAAGACCCTCCCAGACCACAGGCTAGTGGCCCTGGCCTTTCACATGCCAGCTCATCTCTCGTTAAAGGGGTTAAATAAATGCTAGACACAGGGGACAGATGAATTCCCAGGTGAAGGGAGGCAGCTGGAGGGATGGGGAAGGCAAAGCAACCCGGCCCTGACTTCCCCCCTAAGGCCTTGGAGGTGAACTGGGGATTTTCCATTTCATTAACTTTACAAGGGGTAATTCCCAGCATGCAGCATCATCCTCACGAACAGACCCATCCTGGGCTCCCTCTCACCCTTTCACCACCACCAGCCTGCACGGCTGCACCACTAGGGAGGAAAGCCATGCCGTATCGGTATCGAACGAAGGTAATAGGCAGCTGATACTGAGTTGTACACAGCGGAAAACACAGCTGATACACAGAAACAAGCAGTAATTTTTGTTTTTAAAGCAAGAAGCAAAATGGATGCCAAAACCCACAGAAGATGTGAATTTGAAAGCCCCTCCTGGTCCTCCCATGCAAAGGAGCATTACACAAATTGCTCCTGCTCCCCAGGAGCAGCAGCCAACCGCTCAGCCCTGCCGCCCGCTCTGGAGAGCGGTGGTGTTCCTGGGCAAAGAGGCTCTGATGCTTTAGGAGGGGGTGGAGATCAAAGGACTGTCCCACAGCTGCAGACATCTACTCACATACACTGTGTTCATTAGAAACATGCACACACACAGGTAGGAGTTTATTAGTCCACAGGCTTACCATATGAAAAAAAAAAAAGAGCCCCAAAATAGGGGTAGGTTCCCAGTTTTGCCTGCTCGCAAATTAACAGTGCTGAGGGTACTAAACATGCCCTGTGCACTCTGACGGGAGCACGGGGCAGGAGCTGCACGTGCATTCACAGCTGAGAGTGAAGCCTCTCACGTACAAAGGGGTTGGGTACTTCCAGCCGCGAGGCAGCCAGGAGCCCTCAGCTGCCTCTGAGACACGTCCACGGTCAGAGGAGCTGCAGCAGTTTTAATGTGTGCGAGAGGGAGGACGGCTCAGCAGACGCTAAGTACTGGCAGCACAGCCAGTCCTCCAGTTCAACGCTCCGCTCCGTGTCCACAGCCCTCTCCGCGAACTTCATCATGAGCAGGGCACGTTTCATGTCCACCCAGTTCTGCAGCACCCGGCGGAGGGCTTCCTCGTGGCTGAGGGGCTGCTCGGTGAGGTCTTTCCGTGGCCCCCAAAGCAGACACTGCAGCATCCGCTTGGCCTCGGTGATCCGCACACGCTTGATGGGATCTGCTTCCAGCAGCAGGTGGGCCAGCTGCTGGAGCCCCCGGGAGTAGATGGACAGGCTGGGCAGAGCAGGGAGGTCCTCAGGGCTGTACTCCTGCTCCCTGAGGTGCACCTTCTCCTCGAAGGGGTTGGGCTGGTGCAGCAGCTCATAGATGAGAATACCAGTCTGAAACTCAGCAAATGTCTTGTACTGAGAAGCCGACACAATCTCCGGGGCCAGCCGGGCCTGACTCTTCTTCAGTTTGGAGTCTCCAGTTCCTGGCTTCTGCTTGGCTTTCAAAAAATTGCTGATGATGAGGCGGGGTAAGTGTTTGTCATCTTTGGCTTTCACACAGCTCATGGGGGGCTTGCAGGGGACAAGCAGGAGGTTCTCCAGGCACAGGTCACGATGGATGATGCCATGCTCTTTGAGATGCTCTAGGCCATTGCAGAGCTGGAGGAGCAAGAAGCAAACACGACGTTCATACAGCTCAGGCTTAGCTTGGTGCAACATCACTGAGTCCCTCACGAAGTCGGCGGTGGTCTGACTCGGCACCTCCCGTGTAATGACCACCACACAGTCATGCTCACTGGCAGTGCGGGAGGGATGGAGGCCTTCCCCAGGCATGCTTTTCCCCACATCTGAGGCCAGCAGCATGCTGGAGGGGACAGAGGCCACAAAATGCCCACAGTCCTGCTGGATGTTGAAGTGGACCGGCACTGCAGGGCTGCAGTATGAGGCAGCCACCTTGGACTCCTGGGTCTTACAAATCTGTGAGGAGAGACCAAAAGGAAAGTCTCATCAGTGACAAAGACAAGGCAGAGACCAGAAGTTCAGAGGTGGGTTCCTAAGCTGAGATTTGCAGATGTTAAGGAAGACATCAGTAGAAGCAGGGTGCACACTGGTCCCTTTAGTACTTTAAACTATCTCCTGGCTTGAGGATCTTTCCCGTCCTGCAACACCCCAACGTTAGCAACCAGTTGTGTGAGTCCCATTTCTGAGCACGCTTCCTTTGCCAGGCAATGCCCAGTACCTGCAGGGAGGGAGGGAGGTAGTCTTCCCGCAAGTAACTTCTGGAGATTTTGTTTCATTGCCAACAGAAGTGACGTAGCTTTTACATCACAGACATCATCCCTGCAATCCAGGAGACATTTTGCAGGGGGGAAGAAAACCCTGTGGCAGAAGATGTGCTGCCTCCATCTCCAGAGATGGTTAACGCTTGCCTAGACAAGGCCCCGCACGATGTGATACGTCTGCGAGGGTGGCCCTGCTTGGAGTGAGGGGTGGACAGAGACCTCCAACACTTTCTTCCCACCTAACCCTCCTCTGGTCCTAAGCCCTGGAGCCACTTTCACATCCTCCTCAAGCACTCTGCTTCCTTGTGTCACCGACTACTCTCAAATCCCTAATCAATGGCTAAGGGAAACAAGCAACAAGCTGTACTCGTCAGCACAGGTCAAAAACACCAGAGAGAAAGAGGGAGCTAACAATAAGCTTAGAAATAAGTGAGAGTGCAGCAAACTCGAGGGGAAAAAGCATTTTATTATCCAGATTCTCTTAAACCCACAGGACTTTATCTTCATTTTGTTCTGTGTTTTAGCTTTATGACTGCATTAAAGACTAAACAAACTCAAGCTCGGGTTTATTATAGGAGTATCCATTAGCTTATGGGGCCTTCTGGCGTTTCTATTATATACTTTTTTTATTTTTTATTTAGTGATGTATTTATATCTCACCCACAGGAATCAGCAACAGGCTGAAACTCAGCATAAAAGGTTTCAAACCCTGGAGCGTGCCACTGCCAGTCACAGCATGCGTGCAAAATCGGACAAGAAATCAATTTTGCCTCCAAGTTAAAATAAATGCAAGAATAGAGAGGAGCTGGAGAAGTGGGCTGCTTTTGTATTCCTCTAGCAAGGGTTTGAATCTAGGCATTTGCAGGTAATTCACTCAGAGGAGTCGATACTGTGGAGATGGGGCATTGTGAATCCCCATTGTCCCCTCTTTTCTAAACAAAAATACCCTGCTGTGCCTGCATGCTTATTTTGTGGAAAGACAAGCGTTGGGGAGCTAGGCAGACTGCAGATTAACGCAGTGGGACACAGGAAGACGTGCAAGGTCCCCAAAGGCAGAAGAGCCCTTCCAGCCCTCCGCTGAACAAGGCTGCTTGTTTCTCCCCACATAGGGAAGATGTGTAAGGCTTAGGAAAAGCGGAGGAACTCCTGTGAGACAGGAGTGTCTGGAAGAAGAACTGCTACCAAATGAAGACAGGCAGATCTTCCCCAGCCAGCCATTCTTTGCGACTTTGGCTGCACAAGAGGCATTCTCCATGCAGCAAGCTCCACGTAGGAGCCCGGGGCTGGCTTAGTCACGCATCTTTAAGCGGAGAAAGAAGCCAAGGCATGCAGAATATCTTGGCTTAATCCCTCTAAAGCCATTTCATGTAACCCTGGCTCCTTCTGTTTATACGTATCCATGTCTGCCTGTGCACAGCCCAAACTCAGGCTCTTGCTGCTCAGCAGCCTTCTTGGCTCAAGTCAGATCCTCTGCCCTTTTTGAGCTCTCCAAGTCTAATTTTAATACAGCCCCGTAATCTCTTTCATGTCAGAAAATCTGTACCAGAAGCCAGGAGAGACAGCTAGGAATCAGCCAGCTGTAAAGGTTCACAATTATTCTGTATTTCAGCTACCGAAAGGAAGGTGGCACACGGGAACAACGCAGGAGGTGTACGCGTGCACGTGTGTAAACACATGCGCGACTTCACTTTACGCTGGTGCAGAGTATGGCACTGTCAGAGTGGTTTTGGCTCTGTTAAGGTGCTCTGCAGCGTACCAAGTGCACAGAGTAAGCCCACATCACACGCAGGGACACAAGCGCAGTCCCATTCAGAGACTGAAATGTGCTGTTTCTGCCTTGGCAAGAATTCATGCACTACAGCCATAGAGCCAAGCCTCTGAACCCCACCTAACACGGCAGGCAGGAGCAAAGGTGTGTGCATGCCACGGGGAACCGCAGATTGAAAAGAAGCACGCCAGTTCACCATGCAGTTCTCAGGTTTCAGGAGGAAAGTTGCGATGGATTTAGGTATAACAGGCAAGAGAAGCTGCTGCTCTGGGTGCTGGACTAGGGATATTGGTGCAAGACCTCATCTAACTCCATTCTGGTTATTTACAGCCCCGCTGTTGGGTTGACTGTACTTCCTTTAGAATACCAGCTGGCTTTAAAGCTACCACTTAACTAAAACATCCCTTTGGGGCTCATAATGGCAGAAGCGATTCAGCAGAGATTTTTTTTTTTTCCCCCCTTGCTTAATGCATCTCTGACAGTGTTTTTTTGGGGAATTACTTTAGGTTTAGAAAACAACCTGAAGAGTAAGCAGCAATGAGATTCCCCTAGGGTTAAGTCAGAATAGAAATGAAAGGCTCTCTATTCAAGTGGTAACATGGGTCAAGAACCCAAAATCCATGGGATGTGCTTGAAACGGGTTGGATAAGCTCACTTATCCAGGTTTCAAAGAGCTCAACTATTGCACCTGAATTTTCCATTTCAGACATGGATTCCGCAGAGTTACAGGAAGATATTTCAGAGCTGACATTACACAGCATGCCTAGGTCAGCCCCGCATTGTTTAATTGAGATCTGCGCTATCTTAACGCCTGTAGTTTCAAGATCATATAAGCACTCACACGGTTTCTGGGTCAGACCTTCCACTTAAAAGGCAGGCAAAGGCAAAAATGCTGTCTTTTGAACAGCCTTTCATCAGCTTGTGTCATCAGAGGCGAATGCCTCCGAGTTTACAACACAGTATTTGCACAAAGATTTTTTTGGAGAGAAACTGGTTGGGTTGCAGACCCTGCTAGTCTACAGCAACAAGCGACTGACTGGCATTTGTCACAACAAAAGCTACTTCTAATTAACCTTTGCAAGGGGTAGGAGAAAAGTGGCAATTTTGGAAGGGGTTTCACTCGCCAAACTTCAGATGTGAGAAAAACAAGCAGAGTAAAAAGGCCATTGTGTGCTGCTGGTGCTTCTCAAAGGTGTACCACGAAGTCCACTTCCCACTCTTTCATTCAAATCCATACACCAGAAAGGGGGAAAAAGAAGCTCGAAGGTTCAGTCCCAATGCAGCTACAGATTCCCCCACAGCCTTGGACCCCGCAGCTCTTTGCCTCACCCTCCCAACTGGAAAATGGGGATAAGCCCGGGCACCTCCTGGACGCGGGCCTACCTTCACAGCGTAGGTGGTAGAAGGGTCCTTGGAGCAGGTGGCACAGTAATAGATCGCATCCCCCGAATCGCAGCAGGGCTTGTTGCACGCCAGCTTGAAGAGTGACCAATTGTTCTCGCTGAAGTGCAGCTCGTTCTTCTGCTCCCGCATGAAGCAGTCCTCACACTTGGCAACCAGGCGGCGCAAGGACTCGGCGTAGAGGGCCCCCAGCTTGGCATACACCCCCTCCTTGCTGTCGATGTTGCTCAGGAGGTTGTGGAGCTGGAGGCTGGAGCCCGATGACACCTGGCTGGACACACTGAGCTGCGAGGAGGACAGGGACTGGACGTTTCTGCTGGGGACGCAAGCCCCTGTGCTCTTACCAGTGGCTGCGCCCCAGTAGCCGTTTCCTTTGGAGCCTTTCTCCAGGGACCCCGAGGAGGAGAAGGGACCGGGGCAAAAAAAGTCAGACATTGCTCTCGGAATGGCGGACGTTCAGCCTGGGGCTGGCAGCACCGGCTCCTCTGCCTGAAGACGCTTGTCCTCCAAAAAAGCCGTCCGGGGAGGACACTGTTCTGCTCACTGTCTTCTTCTGAGGCAGAGGTGGTGGGCAGCTGGAGGCAGAGGAGGGACCATCCTCACCGCAGGTGGGAAAGAAAGGGACAGGGGGAAACACTTGGCTCTCAGCTGGAGGGGGCGAGTGGTTCGGCTCAGACGAGTGCCCTAGGAGACAGCGACACACAAGAAGATGTCATGAATGGCCCTTGCAGGCTGGGAGCACAGGGGCCTCTCCGTGTCCCTGCCACCCCCACAGGCTACCTCTCCCGGGGCCCTGGCCGGGAACAAAGCAGCAAGCCAGGTTACATCTGAACCCAGCGCACAGTCCTCATCTACTCATGACTGCAAAGCTTCATTGAAAGAGTTGGGGATTTAAGCCAGTTTAATACAGCAGGTTTGCAAAGCAGGCTGCAACCAGCCTTCTGGAGAAATGCCCCCACCCCCCCGGAAACCACTCCTCTGTGAACTACACGCACAGTAGTAAAAAGGTAGTTGAGGGTAAATATTTAAGCTGTGATGTCATCCACAAGGAGGTAACAACGAAGCACTCGGGGAGATGAGGACAGCGTCAAACACAGCCTGTTTTGCCTGGGAGCTGCCACCCAGTGCTTCAGCAGCATGGCACGATAAGCAGAGGGTGACTCATGCTACACAGCTCCGGCTTAAGCGTGACCAGAGCAGCCCAAGAATTATATCGAACTTGTCTCTCTGCCTCACACTGGGTAAGGGTCACAGGGCAAGGCCTGGGATTTTGGCAGTTTCAGTCCTCCTGAAAAAAATCTGGCCTCCTCCCTGCTGCTTGTCCCCCAGCTTATTGCCAGACCTCTTTGCTCAGAGGGCAGCCATACCACTAAACCCCAAGCAGCTCCACGTGCCATCTGCACATGGATTGGGACGGCTGGCTCATTTCAGGCAGCTGTAGCAGATGTTTTCCTACCCTGGCCAGAATGGAGACAGGTAATACAGTTGCATGTCATGGAAGCAGGGGAAGGAAACGAAATATAAAGCAAATTTAAAAAAAAAAGAAAAAAAAAGATGAACCGCATAAAGTTCAACAAGGCCAAGTGCAAGGTCCTGCACGTGGGTTGGGGCAATCCCAAACACAAGTACAGGCTGGGCAGAGAGTGGCTCCAGAGCAGCCCTGAGGAGAAGGACTTGGGGGTACTGGTGGATGAGAAGCTCAACATGAGCTGGCAATGTGCGCCTGCAGCCCAGAAAGCCAACCGTATCCTGAGCTGCATCAAGAGAAGCGTGGCCAGCAGGTCAAGGGAGGGGATTCTGCCGGAGAAGAGAAGGCTCCGGGGACACCTTACAACAGCCTTCCAGTACCTGAAGGGGGCCTACAGGAAGGATGTAGAGGGGCTTTTTACAATGGTGTGTAGGGATGCACATACATGAATGGCTGTAAACTAAAAGAGGGGCAGATTTAGATAAGATATTACGAAGAAATTCTTCTCCACGAGGGTGGTGAAACACTGGCATAGGTTGCCCAGAGAAGCTGTGGCTGCCCCCTCCCTGGAAGTGTTCAAGGTCAGGCTGGATGGAGCTCCAAGTAACCTGGTCTAGGGAAGATGTCCCTGCTCATGGCAGGGGGGTTGGAACCAGATGATCTTTAAGGTCCCTTCCAACCCTTACCATTCTATGATTCTATGATTCATTCTATGATTTGACATTGAAATAAAAAGTAATAATTTCAGGTCACAGAGACAGAACAAACAAGGAGTGGAGGGGTCTGCAAGGGAAATCAAAAGAAAAGACGTAATTACTTCAGAAAATTTTCTACGCCACTTGAACGTGGTGGGACTCTTGAGAAACCTGAGCTCTGCTGACACCTTGCATGCAAGTGTAGACCTTGAAAGGTGCATGGCAGCGTTTTGCTCCAAGCAAGCTCAGCAGATAGCAGGATCTATTGCTCTCTTTGAACCCAGCTTCCAAAGCTGCAGAGTGGTAGCAAGCCACCCTTCTTCCTCACCAGGCTGCTGGTGAGGGTTCAGTTGCCAGCAGGCCCTTCATCACTGTGGCTTTCTGCCCGCTCCACAGGAATGCTCTGGGACAGCTTCACGTCAGCCCGCGCTTGTCCCCGTCACAACTCTAGTGACTCACCAGCTCTCATCACAGCCTCCAGCTGCAGGGCCTCAGGTCCCCAAGCTCCCAGCCTGTCCTGGCGTGTCACATGCAGGCTCAGAGCTGCACCAGCTGTGCCAGGACAGCAGTCCCAGTTAGCTGCTCACCACCCGAGACCATATGAGGTGAGGGGCAGGTCCCCTAGTTCTCAGCTACCAGAGTGGATGCTGGCATGACCTGTCCCTGTCCCTCCCCACCGCAGTTTGGTAGCATGACATCAATTTTCACTTGTCCCCTCCACTGCCACAGCTGCCTGTATGCTCCTGCTGCAATACAGCCCATCCTGAGCAGCAGCATCGAGAGACACCCCAGGAAGGAGCAGCACCGATTTCAGCTTCTATGGAAGATGAGCTTCCCATGCAAGGCAGTTTCGGCACCCTGTTTCTGACAACACGCTCAGAAACAGCTCTGTAGGAAACGCTGTGAATCAGCACGCGTCCCTCGTGTCCCAGTTCCTGGGTGCCGAGCTATCAGACTCCTGTTGGGCCCTCGCCCCGGTGTCTGCCTGCACTGTACACCCAGTTGCTGAGCAATTGACTGCTCTCTGCTTCCAGCTGCTCTGCAGCGGCACAGTGAACCATGGAGCCCGTGGCACGACAGAGATGCACGCCCCAAGCTTTAACGAAAACCCCGATATCTGCATCACACCCTGCCGGGTCCATGGGAAAGATCCCCTCTGTTAAAGCCCTGTCAAAGGCCACAGGCAGCGATCGTTCAGCGTGGCACCTCTTGCCACTTCCAGCCCAAGGGGCTTTGACAGAGGATAAAGCCAAGAGAAATTCTTCGGCATGCAGCCCAAGAGCAGCTCAACAGAGGCATCTCTGCCAGGACACGCAGCTGGATCCCCATTTCAAGAGAGACAGAGCCTTACGGAACAAACGTCAGCGCTGCAAGCTTTGGCAACCGGTCCACACGCCTAGCCCACAGATGCCAAACTGCTCTTACCTTTTTTTCCTTTTCTTTTACGTGCTGCTGGGCTCTGCCCCAAGCACAGGGTAACGAATGAAACCCTTTCACAACTTTCCTAACAGTGCTCTGCACCTTCAGCATAGAGTCATTCTGCATGTCAAGGGCTTAAAAACTGCCCCTCACTTCGTATTTTAACATCTGACAGCACAGCAAATTAATTTGAGCTCACCTCACTCAGTGACTGACTGCATAGCTTCTTGTTTGCATCAGCAAGAAAAATTGCATTTGGGTTATTAATTTAAAAACTCAGCTTTCCTGAGATGAGTTGAAACAGTTGCTTCCATTAGGGGAGGCAGAGAAATCCTCTTGTCCCATATAACTTTTGACAGCAAATTGCTTCTGTGCCCCGCAAGTAAAGATCCAACATACGTGATTTTTTCTTCCCCCTGTACAATTTCCTGGCATGGTCTCACTCTCAGGCTCCAAGTTAGCGGTGGAAAAATGGAGTTTCCAGAGCTCTGGCTCTTAATTTTATTGCTGCATGCTGTTGCTCTTGGAAAGACAGAGCTTCCACTACACGAAAGTTGCTTTTGCAAAGGAAATACTTTCTGAGCTGCTGAACACGTTAGTGCATGTCTAAGTTACGCACTGATGAAAAAAGTGACTTCATAGTAAGTATTTTTTTAATCTCAGTTAAACGAGTGCAGGCAGATTTTTTTTCCCCTTCAAGAAATAACTGGGAACACAATGAGGGGGAGAGACTCCTTCTGGTACTCCTCAAATCTATGGAGGACTTTCTAAGGCAGGGTTACGTTTGACCTTGTGCAATGTCTGAAGCACAAGCTGGATAAGGAAAATTGCTTTCACATGGCGGTTTTATCCAGACAAGAGGAGAGCTACAGGATGAATGATTTTGGCACTTGCCAACCAACAGAGGAAAACGCCTGTGATGTTGGCCTGACTCTGTCACACTCATTTTAAGCACATCAAGAGGGAAGGGTAGGACAAGTGGAAAGATGAAGGGTTGTTGGGGGAACGAGGTGACTGGACCCTCATGATCCCTGCTCTGAAGATGCTGCCGCAGCAGTGGGCCTGGGGATGGAAGTCACTCCTTCCTCAGGCCCACTGCTACCTCTCCCACACCCAATATTCACTTACTGCCATCGCTGCCGGTCTGCGTGTCCGAGTCGAGGCTCTCGGTAGAGCCAGCCGTGAAGCTGACGTGGACACTCCTGAAAGGTGGGCTGAGGCTCTCAGCAGAGCTGTTGCTGACCCTCTCCAACTCAGCGTTATTCGAGTTCATTTTCAAAGTATGCCTAGAGAGAGTGAAAGAGAAGAGTCAGGAGACACATGGCAAAAGATACCCTGCGTGCACTTGTGCATGGAGCTTCAATCCGAGAGCAGCCTTAGCTTGGTCCCTGACCATCCATACAGACACTGTACAGCCTTTTACCACGCCACAGTACCTCGTTCCTCTGCACTTTTCTCTTTCTCCGGCACCTGGGGATCGCGTCTCACTGACACGGAGCAGGTTATAGCCCTGCAGCCCCCATGCCAGCTCCCCATGACAAACCAGCTGCGCTTGAGCAGAGAGAGAACCACTGAGCCAACAGCATCCAGCCCCAGACTGCGCCTCCTTTGCCTAGCACATGTGGGGGTCCTGGACCACATCCCACCCTGGCCACTGTCACTGGGAAGTGGGGACGCACCAGTGTTTGCCTTCAGTAAGGTTATCAAGGGAAGGGAGTGGCATCATTCCTTCCATTTTACAGAAAGGCAGGTTGAGGCTGGGAGTCAGGAATCTTCGTGGCAGAGGCGTAAGTGGAAGAAGAGCCCATCCCTAGCAGCCGTCGTCTCCTCAGTGCACCACAGTAACAACAGACACTGTCTGAAAGAAGCAGCACCTCTGCAGAAACCAAGTGTCTGCTGAACTCAGGACCTACCTTCCAGCTTTTAATGCAAGACCTACAGTTTTCCACGCAGCTTCCATCTAAACAAATAAATACATCATAAACTGGGCTTATAACCTGCAGGTCACAGTTTAAGTGATCAGTTGTAAGCAAGCAGGACTTTTCACTAAGTTAAAGAATTTCCCCTGCATTTTCTTCATTTTTTTCCTCCTTGGAAACCAACAGAAACTTGGAATCAGGCAGCACATCACAGCATAAACACTCTTAGCTTTGGTACAGTTCAGACTCTCTATCGGCCAGCAAACGAAGGTCATCGGTCCACATTTTTTAAGTAAAACTGCCAATCCGCTGATAAAATTTAACACATTGTTGATTAAGAATGTGGAAAGGTTAGTGGCAGGCCTGTAAAAGAGAAAAAGGACTTCCACCAGCTATCTTGCTGGAAGGTATCCGGCGTTTCCTAATCAGACGGTGGAATGGCTGCTGAGAAAGACAAACAAAGACGAGCACAACCGCTTTCTTGTGGCACCCTGTTCACGCGCACAGGATCCCTCCTCTTTCAAAACCCCCAACCACAGCAGATGCCACGAGCGATTTTTTATTTCAAGACTGAGAAATGTTTTGTTCCCCATCCAGACAAAGCACTTACTCTCGTGTCCACACCACCACATGGAGAGCAGAGCGTATGGGAAGCCCGGAAGAAACTTCTGCCAGACTTCCTCATTTGCCTGAGCAGCCTTGGTCTAAAAATACTCCGGGGCTGATGAAAATAAGGCTCTAAAAACCACCTCAGGTATAACTCAGCAGAGACACTGGTCTTGCACCAGTGATGAATTTACCACAGCAAGCCTCTTGGGGATGATTTACGTAACTTTGCAATGCACCACACAAGTCACAGTTAAAAAACAGAGAGAGAGAGAGAGAGAGAGAGAGAGAGTGAGAGAGACACATTGAGGTTTTCAGCTCTGTTATGATTAATGCTGTTGAAAGCAACCAACTGGACTTAAATGCTTTTCTTTTTTTTTATTATAAAGATATATCTTTATCCTATAACTTTCTCAGATGTTTAACTTTTAGTAATTTGGGGGGAAAACCACAAACGGCAGCACACCCACACGGGTGCACTGTCTGACCTGGCAACAATCAAGGAAGCTTTTGAATCCATAAGAAAAGCAGAAGATTTTGCAAGAGAGCCGGTCTCAGTTCGCACAGATGAGGTTTTCCCACACATTCCTCCCCTCCCTCCCTCCCTTCCTCCCCCCTCCAAGAAAAGTTGGTGCATTTCTGCTTCTTTCCCATCACTTAAACACAAATCCGCAGAGCTGCCTTACCATTCCCGCACTCAGAGAGAGATGGGACTTTGCTCGGCAGGGTCCAAGGTCCACCGCGCACAGCCACACCTATTCCTCCTCCAAGCAACCTGGGCGCAACGCGCCGTCTGCCAGAACCGTGCTGGCTCCTGCCTTTGCCGAGCTCAGCGCCGCGGTGAAGTCAGATGTACAGAGAGCCCCGTTTCCTCTCCGTACCGCCGTGACTTATGTAAAATGCAGTTCCTGAATAGGCACACCGAAATAGAAATTGTTTGCCGCTTAAACGACATCCTGCTCTTGTTTCAGATGTTACAGCCGGGCCAGCTAACATGGCCTGGAAATATCGCTGCTTTACATCCCCCTCCTTTCCTACGACCTGCTTGAAGCCCAGGCTACACAGATTAAAACACTGCCCGCTATGCCAACGAATTACTGAAAACACTTGCTAGGGTCAAAGTCTCCCATTTCAGTAAAATTCCAGCCAAGAGCTGAACAAGCCATCACTGTGACAACCTATGGGATCCTGATTTACAGCTAACCTGAACTTCCCCTGCTTTGCTCATGTTCCTTCCTACCACGTGTGACTGCAAGGGCACGGTTGCTATGCTCCATCTCACCCTTTTCACCAAAGGATATTGAAAATAAAGAGCACCAGTTCATCTTAAATGTGAAGAAACTTTTGGTGCTAACATCTGTGGGCTCCACTCCCCTTCAGAAAAATGCAGCAGTGGTTGATTTGCCTCCATTTCAAAAATCTGTGTTCAGCACCTTAAATGTAACCAGCAGCTTCAAGAGCAGCACCAGAGCCTCCTTCATGTGCCAGTGCATAAAGAACAGGCCACAAGAGTCAGCTCTCCCAATCTAATAACCTAAAAAAGTCGGATTTCCAGTTCTCCAAATTATTCTGGCGGCTTTAAATACACTTCAGTTACTCAACATCCTTCATGCAACATGCTGGCATATTCAGGCGAGCCTTCCTATTTGCCCAGTTTTCCCATCCTAAACAGTTTCATCCACCTGGCTTTCCACACGACTCTCGCACTGCTGGCTAAAACAAGTCAAGGCTGAAAACAGTGGTCTTGTAACAAACAAAACAAAAAACAAATAAACAAAAAAACCCCACCACAGTTCGGAGTGCTATAAACATTGCAAGGGGACCCAGATCATTTACCATGCCTCCTGTTGCACCTCCAGCCGGGGCCTGCTTCGTCTTTCCCATGATTCATATTCGAGCAGTAGCCATGTGCTTAATTTCACATTTTTTAACGTATCGGAGTCCCACCTGATGCTGCTGTGGGACTCCAGCACCACTGGCTGTGCGCCTTGCACTGCTTGGAGAGAGGGGAGATGGGCACCAAAGCGTGGCTCCCCTAACAGCAGCAGACACACATCCCTTGGGATATCGCCCCAGGGACCCCTCGGCTTCTGGGCACGCCTTCGGCTTGAATCCCTTGCCCAAGATTTGACACACAGATGTGGCTACCTTCCAGAAGTGCAAGGGGCAGGGAGGTTTCGAGCAAGGGAGAAGCCCACTCAGATGCAAGAGCCGCAAGGCTCCCAACTTGCTCCTTTCCAGAGGCCATCCCGAGTCCAGCGTGTTGGCAGCAGCAGAGGATGCTGGAAGGCATTTCTCTCCCACAGAGAGATCCGATCACATGGAGCGCCCGCTCTGCAGCCCCATCACCGGGGTTTTCCAGCCTTGCTGTGCTGGCAGGTCGCTCGTTCTCAGCACAGGTGATGGGACTTGAACAGGTAAAAGAGATACTGAGCTTTATCAGTCATGCAACAGGGGAAGAAAGCAGGGCAGAGAACACACACAAACCACCACAAACCAAATTGCACTCCAGGAGAAGGGCAGTGATAATGTCAACAGGACACCCCCTCCCAGAATAAAACACTGGCACTAACGTGCGGCAGAGAGAAAAGCCAGACTGCATTACAGCATCAAACACAACATGACTGGGCATAATTACTACACAAGAGGAAGCACTATTGTACCATATGCCTGTCTATCATGAAATGTGAATAATTGTATCTTCCTCCTTCCTCTGCTGCTGTTTCTTCCAGCATCTTCTGCTGGATGCACAGGGCAGTTAAAAAACAGCATACAGGAGCTTACAACATTTGAGGCTTGGATTTGTACTTACCCTTCTGCCACCAGCTGCCAAATGTGAGAAAACCAAAATCAAGGTGAGGGAAAGAGAGGAATTTGAAACACTCCCTAGCTCTGTCCAGAGGACTACACCACTCCTCCCTGCACCAAAAAGGTTTTATGTAGCTCTGGTTAAGTTGAAACAAGGGTTTGGAGTCTGGAGATGCAAAGGGAAATTTGGATAGGGTGCAGAACCAAGATGAGAGATGGGTCAAAAATTAAATCACTGCATGCTCCGATGTGGTGGAGAGGACAATGAATCTCATTTCAACTTCCAACTCTGCGCTTTTTTAAATGGCAAGATAGGAAACACACATAAAAGTGAACGACTTTCATTTTAAAAGCAACAATCTCTCCTAAAAGATTGGCTGATAAATCATGACCTTTTAAAAATTATTCACTGGCAAAAGCAGCACAAAAAAAATCCCGACTAGTTTCAGACACAAAACACAGAGGGAATACAAAAGGTGTCTTCCATCCCTGTCCTGGAGCGTGATTCTCTCTCCTGCTTGAGCCATACCCTCCCTTTTTTTCTTTATTTACTTATTTAATTAATAATTATGTATTTAAATAGACTCCATCCAGAGGGTTTTGTTATTATTCTTATTATTTATTATTTTAATTATAATAAATCTGGCTTGTCCTAGACCAAACAGCAAGTTTCTGCTGTCACCCACGGTCACAGAGAACTGGGTCAAAATCTGGGACCTGTGTGACTTCCAATTGCTTTTGTAATTGCCACAGCAGCTCCATGTAGCCTGTCTGCTTTTGTCACCGGGGTACACCCTGACACTGAACTCCAAAGGGAAATGGGTGCCTCGGGAATGGTAAGAAGAGGGGTATATTCTGTCTCAGGTGCAGTGCTGCTCCATCACAGACCGATTCCTGGCAAGAAACACACAGCACTGTCCCACCAGCCAGCACCACACCCCCGGCGAGAAACAAACCTGGCTCCTTTTCTGGTGATCTGATTCCCCACACGGCTGGTTTTTTCTAACACTCTTGTTTTCTGTTCCCTCTGGCAACAAGCGGCAGCAGCAGCACCGTAACATGCAGTCTTGGCACATCCCAAGCTCATCTGTCCTGGCTGTTTCCAGCGATGGCGGGTGTCAGGACGTGCCACGCACACACCTTTGTTACCCCAAGCGAGCGCATTCAGCAAATTTCAGAAGCTATCTACCGCTCTGCCTTTTGAAGGTGGCATTAATTATGATGAAAACAGCTCAAAAGCCAACAGCTCAAGATGCAAAACAGCATCACTGTTTCCTTTCTTTAAGAGGCACATGAAATAAATTAACTGTCAAGGTTTTGCAGGCTAGAAGGAACCGTTAGGATCAGTTAGCCTGACGCTTAGCATAAGAGAGACGTAAATTTCAGCAAAGATTCATCCCTCATGCCCAGAAACTCAAAGCCACACTAGAGCATTTCACACTGACGAACCTTTAAGCCGTCATTGCGCCACTGGCTCCCCTGGCGAGCCCTTTCCATAGCCAACTACCTTCCCGGCGTTTGCAAGTAGGCTAGCCACCAGCTGCCCTGTCTAATCTCTTTCCTCGTGTAATTCAACTCACTTTCCATTCCAGTTCAGACCAAGCAAACTTTAAACGCCTATAATCTTCCAAACAAGCGTGTGTCCAGAGTAGCTTTATATAGGATGAAACAGGCACAAAGTCATTACTTTCCTTTTTTGTGCCAACTTTTTAAACTCCCTAAAATCGCTCTTTCCACCACCCTAAGAGACAGCTTACTGCAAAACCAGAGTTTCCCCAGTGCCTGGCAGGAATTTACCCTCTAAAAACTTTTTTCCCTTTTAATTGTTAGTACCAAGATGAACAAAACAAAACCCACAGACTCACTTTTTTCTTTCTCTGCTTTGAAACCAGTTTGAACACACACACAGGTTTTCTTTAAAATAAGCAAGTAAGTTTAATGAGGAAAGCCAAACAGGCGAGCTTCATTTTCCAGCATGAAATCAAGTATCTTGCTACAGGTTGAGATCTAGAAGGAAAGAGGATGGTTACACACATTTCCTGCACCTGAAATGAACCCTGATTTGCTAAGCCCCAACCCCCGAGACTGTGCCACAACCTGACCTACACTGGCTTCATCTCCATCCATCCATCCAAAGGAGCCTTTGCAGCTGTGCCACCAGAGATCATCTGGGGCTGATCAAGTCTGTCTCTGCGAGGGACTACATAAGCGTAACAGAAGTATTGGTGGTGGTTCTTCCATTACGGATGAGCACATGCCCGCAGCCTGCCCAGGCCTTGGAGAGATTGGATGCGTCTCAGAGTCATCTTTGTGTGCAAGACCTCCTCCCTTCTTCAGGCGTTTGGCTGCAGCCCAGGAAGACTGGAGGAGATGCTCCTCCAGCAGCAGGTAAGAGTCACGTCATGACCTGAAGCAGAAACGACTGCCCAGGGTAACACAATCCCGCTATGGTGATTTTAACCAGCTGTGCAGGTAGCCATCCCTCCCACCGCCACGCACAGGTAACACCACCCTGGTTCCTGCATCGACACGCTCAGAGATGCCACTCTTGAGATGAGAACGAGAGCACCTTCAAAGCAAACAAACAAAGCAACCAGCTGGGTTTGCACGGCTTACGAAACCTGCCATCTGATCAAATCGCTCCTCAGGCCGGCTGCGCAGGGGTTTGGTAGCCAGAGGGAGGGCAATGTTCTTTGAGTAAGGTGCCCCAAGGCTCAGCTGCAGGCATCAAGGCGTTTAGCAGACAAATACCTGCAGCCACAGGAGGTAAGAGCAGTGCCAGCACCTACCTCAACCACCTGGCAGGGTTTACAGCTCTACCAGAGCTCCTGGTCACAGATGCCCTGTGTTCCCTGACCTCAAGTTTCCCTGCCTTCTTTCACACAGGCTTTCTAGCACACAGACGCTATCAGGATGACTCAGAAGCCACTGTTACAGTTGGCACAGGCCGATCACACCAGGAACATGACACAGCCCCTCCAAGGAGCAGAAGATGCTCTGTGCCCCTCAGGATGGCTCATTGTAACTCCACGTGGAGGGCAACAGCAGGACACCCGCCTGGCTTGGAGCACAGCTGCTCCAAGTCACCCAGCCAAGGAAACCCTGACACATCAGGGAGCTACTGCCTCCCCTCCCAGCCCTCACAAAGGCAGAAATGAGACGGAGCGCTGCCAGGGAAGCATCCTCGCCCCCAGCACAGAAAAAGGGCTCTGCACAGCTGCTCCTCCATGGGCAGAAGGAGGTCCTTGCACTGCAAGTGGAAGATGCTGCTGGGGTATATATTGCTGAGTTTGAGTGCCACCACTCTTCTGCCCTGCCCAGTGACTTTTGCTCGGCAGGGGGAGGAGTCAGGTCCTAGAGGACTTTCAGCATGCTGTTTGGTGTCTCCCAAATGATCACTGCCTGACAGCACCACATCGTCACAGCTCTGCTGGGCCTCAACAACCCAACACTTCACACGGCAAATAGAACGGCAAGCCACAGGCTGATATGAGACACCAGGCGGCAGCAGCCATGAAAGAAAGTTCACAGGGTCAAAGCTAAAGTATATCTTAGATTTCAAGCAAATCTTTGATTTCAAAGGCAATGAAGGTCTTCTGTGTGCTCACTTGCTCGTGGACCTTTTATTTCCTCTGACTCCAAGAGGCATGCAGCATCAGAGCAGGAAGCCCAGCATTAAGGAGGACTAAAGCCTCTCGTTCACCTCTTCCCTTTCCTTGAGAAACCTAATTTGTTCACCACCTGGTCAATTTAAAACACTAATTCCCCGGGCTAGCGAACACTAAAAACATTGAAAATTCAATGTGAGAACAAAACAGAGGATGAGTCAACACAACCTCAGCCTGGAGGTCACTGACGCCTACACGTAAGCTTGACCATGGACCCCAAGAGCAAGTTCTCCTCCGAACATCTTCTTGTCTTCTCCCAACTTTTAAATCAAGGAGCTGGAGTCAAATCTGTTGTGCAAAGCACAGTTCCAGGTAACAAAAAACTGCCGCATGCAATAAAGCAAATACAGGACAACCGCAGAATGTGGAAGTGTCCCTCCCCACTACGATCAGACAACCTGATCCATTAGTTGCATGGCAAGGAAATAAACCTTTGCTTTGTTCCTCCATTTTCTCTTTTTCTTTTCCCCCCTTTGTTGTTTTTTTTTGGGGGGGTGGATACACACAGCTGCAGATACTGAATGCACACAAAGTGGAAGAGTGGGTTTTTAACTGCTTAGCAGAGCTACTTCCTTCCCAGATGGACAGCTCTCCCTCATTCACGTTTGTTTTGTAGGGCCTGCTGTCACCCTGCCTGCAAACCTGACTTCCAGGAGAGTGGCGAGGGGAAGGCTGCCTGAAGCCAGGCAGCTCCCACACATCACGAGCACATGGTAGGCAAGCTCCAGCTACCTGCTTGCAGGCAAGGAGTCCTCCCTGGGAAACTGCAGCTTCAAGAGTTAACCTCAAAAGCAAAAAGACATCAGAGCCAAACTGAAAGTGAGGATTGCTATTAGCGCCAAGAGAAGTTGCCCAGCTCCACCCACAAGAAGAGCTCACATCCCCAGATTTTCCATACTATTCAACATCGAGGAACCATGCCGAGGCAGAACAGAGCTGACCTGAGGAACACCAGCCACCCCAGGCACAGACCTTGTTCTCACTTGAATATTGCGACCCAAGGCCATACCTTGCAGCCTGAAGGGCTTTTGCAAGTACATACGGCATTCGAACCCAGGACTTGCAAAGATCTGACAGCATTTCAGATTAAAACAGTTAACTAGTTTTTTAGCCATGCAGTCACAGTTAACAGACTACTGCACACACGCTCAAAGGGCTGTACCTGGACTGCTTTTTCGGCGGCGGTGGTGGTGGTGCAAACTCCACACCATTGCTCTTGTCTTTAGGGAAATCAAAGGAGAAAGACGATGATTTGCTGATCCCAGTCTGGCTCTCCAGCATGGGGCCATTATCCACGAGGTCGGCACCAGCTCTTCCATTCTCAGCTCCCACTGCCCATGGGTGGGTTAAGAGATCCTGCTCCTCCTCCTGCTCCTGTTCCTCCTCCTCCTCTATCCGGCACTGCTTGGTCCACGCTGGGGGGTAGTATTTCTGTCTCCTGTCATAGGACGAGCCTGCCAGGCCTCTGCTGGACTCCTCCACAGAGACCCCATTGACATGAGTGCATGGAGATGGGGACGCCCCAAAGGCGCTGGTATTGGTATAGCTCCTGGGCAGCAGCTGAACACCAGCTCCATCGTGGCTTTTATCATCACCAAACCTCGCCACATGGGAGCTTACTGGGGGCACACGGTTCCCCTCACTGCCTGGCTGGCTGTTTTTGGACATCTTTGGGGGAATGGCTGGACTCTCAGCAACTGAGGTCTTGGCAGGAGCTGCCAGGTGAAATCTTGGACCGTTTTCACTTCCAGATGCTTGAAAAATCTCTCCAGGCTCAATGGCAGGTGGTGAAGTCCCAAAATCAGGGTGGGAAGTAGGGCTGATGCACGGCCACTGAACTCCCACAGCCGAGTCAGGGCTGCTGAGGAATATCGTCTTGTGATCATCCTCGGTGTGCGCCGTCATGATAGTGATCTTTGCCGCCACCTGCCCGGTGGAGTCCTGGTATTCCTTCTCACCACCCAAAGCCCAGCTGCCATCCCTCCACGTCCCATCAGCTTGCTCCTTGCCAGTACCACGGGCCAGCTTCTCCACTTTTGCCTTTAGCTGTGCCGTCTTCCTCTTGGTGCTCTCGGCATAGATGGGATCTGCGCGGGCTGGGTCGGCGAGGCGCGGGCGCTGCGGCTCCACGAGAGCCTGCTGAGGGATGCTCGAACCCTCCGGCCAGGGACCACCGGTGACGGAGGGCTCTCCGGGGAGAGGCAAGTCCTCATCCTCTTGGGACAAAGCAAAGGCATCTGCCTTGCTGCTCCCTGTGCTCTCAGGGAGGGCAACAGGCTCTGCATGGAGAGCCAGCTTTTTCCTCTCTGAACACAGAGCGTAGGGGAGAGGATCGCCCTGGTTTTTAGTGATGCAGAAGGCCACGTTCACAGCTCTGCTTTCTTCTTCGCCGAACTTGACCGCCCTGCCACTCGGCCTGGGAATCTCTGGAGCATCCCGCTGCCTCCGTCCGCAGGGAACGGGGCTCTCCGTCTCGCACTGGGCACCCTTCCCCTCCGCGCAACGCGGCTCCCGGGAGACGGGGTGCTCTCTGCGGCAGTCTGTGATCGAACAGTACTCGCCCCCTTCGCTTTCAAAGCCGGAGGAGAGGCGACTGCAGTCGCCCTCCGAGGCGAGCGCTGCTCCTTCTCTGGCTTGGGAAGGAGGGGTTCTGCTGGAGTTCACAGTGCTTCTGTCCCCCAAGGTGGATGGATTCGGGCAGGGGGCCCGATGCGGCAGGGCAAACTTGTCTTTGGCTCTGTCCTCTTTTTTGCCCACCTCACCCACAAGCACCAGGCTGTGGATGGAGACGTTTCTCTCCACTCGACTCTCCAGGCTGTGCAGGCCCACCATGGAGTAGCTGGGAGGACAGCAAGACAGGCAGTCGCCGGGTGGGTTGTGAAGGAAGGGCTTTCTCACACCACCCTTGCCAAAATTGTCGAGGCAGATCCGCTGTGCATCTCCCGATTTCAGAAGGAGTTGTTTGCCAGAAACCACGCCCCAGCTGACCTGCATGGGCCAAAGAGACAAGTGCACTGTCAGGATGAGAGAAATTTAAAAAAAAAGGAAAAAAAAAAAAAGCGAGAGAGAAAAGCCCAGCTCTGCAGAAAAGTCCTCTGACATTTGCCGTCTGTTGTGCTCTCTGCTCACCCCATCAATAGCTACCGCAAACCTTTTCTACTTAAATTACACTTGTCCTATTTCCCGGACCATTTGCAATCCTTGCATTGCCAACAATGGCAATGCACTGAAATAAGGCATTCTCTTTTCTCTTTCTACGGGTTCGCTGCCAGAAACATGTCCAACCTGTCATCCTGTCTGCGAATCACCGTGCAATTAAAGATTCAGAGAGGGAAGGAATATCTGCACCTCTGTCTGCTTATTTTTGTTTCATTTCACACTGCTACTCCAGAGCTGCACGCTGCAGAGCGCAGACAGACTATCACAGGTTATCCTGGGATAGCAACTTGGCCATGCTCAGCATTAGGGACTGGGGGGTCAGGGGGCAAACGGACCCAAAATCCCAGCATCTGAGGGAGACCAAGGAGATCCCTTGCCAAGGGAGGAGAGGGAGAGGCAGCGGGCAACGCATGCCTGCGGAGCGACCCCTCGTCCCAGGGTGGCAGAACCCGCTCCCATAGTGCAAAGCTCAGCCTGGGGCCAAATCCGCGCGCACAGATCAAACCCCACTGACGACGGCAGCCTGCGCTCTTATGCCCTTAGAAGAGAAGCAAGGGACAGCAACGGGAGGCTAAGCAGAGAGCCAGCAAGCCCTGGCTCTCCTCTGGGGCAAAGGTGGGAGATACGAGCCCACCCACGCCATGGGCAGGGTGAGAGCAGCCCACGCTTCGCTCTGCGTGGCTGGGGCAGTGCTGGTACCAACCGGTCAGGGAGAGAAGCGAACCACCCATCGTCACTGTGGCTGAAACCACCAGGGTTTGCCAGTTCGCAGGCAGGCAGCAGTGCTGCACCCGGAGGGCACTGCTGCTCTGGCAAAGGTTGGGAGCCAAGGCGCTGAGCGAGGAAGGCAGGGCACTTCTTTCTTCCTCATCCACAAAGATCCAATTAGCACCAACTGCAGGACTTCTTTTCGCTATATCTTCCCAGGTAAATAACTTTAACCTGCACCTTCATTTAAAATCTGGAAGTTCCTAAACAAACAACGTACTTTTAAGCTCCTTTGCACATGCCTTGTGAGCAACAGCTCATTCAGCTTCAGCCAAAGATACCCTGAGAAGCTGATATATGGCTTAAAAACCTGAGTCAAGACCAGAAGCAAAAACAAAGTGAAGGAAACCGTTTTAACAGATATTCCTAGCACTCCCGAGGAGAGGTAAGTAACGGGAAGTCATGCTTTGACTGGATTAATCATTACCTGTGACAGATCTGCATTCATATTCACATCCGCCCACGCGTCAGAAACATCCGAGTTTATCATAGTTGGCTTCACAGCAATCGTTGGCTTTGAGAAGGGGGAAGTATTTACACCTTCGTCTTCCAACACAGGGCTCTCAGGCTTGGTCCTAACTCCATTCAGGAGCACGGCACAAGCTCCCACGTCTGGGGGTGTTTGCAGCCGATGGGAACTCTTGGGGCTGAAGCAGTTTTTGCAGGAGCCGGGCTTCCAAACGTGTTCCACAAAGTCACTGCACGCAGACATCTTCAAATCCTCGTGGCTCAGACCGAGCGCCCTCTGCGTCTTCTGCACTGTCCTCCGCTGCTCATTTTGCGTTTGCTTCCCAGCGTCGCTCTCAAAGATCACCTAGTTATCTGGAAAAGCACAACACTGTCAGATTAGTTTGGTTATGCCCCAGAATAAGAAGATTTTTAAGACGGCAGGTGATGATTACACTTACTCTGCTTTCATCACAAAGGCTTATTGTTTACAAGGCTTTTTTCACAGCTCAGCTAAAGCCCACGCAATCACTTAAAAAGCCGCAACTTCTGAGCATAGCTCTGTAACAGAGAAGACATCAAGCAAACAGCATTCCTACGTGATTTAATTCCCTGGTTAATGAGCACGTATAACCAACCTCGCGCGAGGTTTAGATCAAGGGTAAAGGAAAGAGGTCTTGGAAACAGCTGTTCACAGCCCCACAAGCAGAGCCAGGCAGGAGAAATTCCTTCTCCAGAGTGGCATCCTCTCTCTGCAAAACAAAAAGACCTGGAGATCCAAGGACCAGAAGCAGCGACCGTGTAACCAAGGGGACCGGCAGCAACCTTCCTTCACCCAGAAGCACCACTGTGATTACTGCCGTGGTACACAAAGACTTCTCTCCGACCCAGCGACACGGGAGAAAGGCAATCAGCAAGGCTGGGGCTGGCACTGATCTGAGCAAGTGCCTGGCAGAAAGCTCTTATCTGGTTTGCCAGGAGCCACAAATAACAGTGTCAGCTCGCTGAAATGATTCATTGTCTGCAAGGGGAGAAACGTTTTGCTCTTGGATTACTCACAGACGAGGATCCCTTCCCATCTTCCTTCCCCAGGAGGAAATGCCCCAGGAACAAGACATTCCTGCATTCCTGTGCCCTCCTCCCCTTCCCCCTCCCACGGCCAGGTCTGATTACGCTAAACCAGTAGCTACCTGGAGCTAACAACTTTGGAGATACTTCAGAGGAGGACTCCCACAAAGCTCAGTGGATTAGGGAAGAGAAGATCAGAAAAGGCAACAAAGATGAGGAAAATTGCAGCCGGCTGCCGTGAGTGCCAGGGCATGCAATCCCCCCACATGGCTCCGCAGAGTCCTTCCCCACCTCACCAACTTTAGGTCACCATCTCCCAGCCAGCTGACCCCGGTGCGAACTGAGGCTCCTTCCCCGAGGGTCTCCGAGTGAACAGGCACTTCTACACCCCAATCCTGATGACACAGGAGCAAAATTTACCCGCCTGATCCTTCGGCGCTTCCTCCCCGCAGGCATGCCGCAACACCACCACAGCTGCGGACACCTTCGCACCTGCACGAACCCCTAAACCAGGCCGCGCTTCCGAAAAGCCTCTTGCCTCTGGGCTCAGAGCTGCCCTGGCCGGCCTCTCCAACAGCCACCTCGCTGCACGGTGAGGAGAAAGAGTGCTAATAAGAGCCCCGGTGGGACAAAGCGAAGAGGGGGGACAACCACTGACCCACAAGCATCAGCTGGATTCACATGCCACCTTTGGGACAGGAGCTTTGATCGGCTGAAGCGTCAGTACCTGCAGACTCCCGTCTGGCAGGCTGACAAATTAGGATCTGCTTTGTGAAGAAGCAGAAAAAAAGGGGGACTATCGATGGGGTTCACGAATCAGATTGGTGCAGGTCTCTCTCTTTTTTTAGGGAAGAGACTGTTTTACACAGGTTTTTCCACGGACTTCCCAGAGCCCAAATTAACCGCAGGACGGCAAATCACTCTTGGACATACCCCAACACCTTTAACGAGATTAACATCATCTGCAGGGAAAACATCTTTTAAAAAATATTCTATTCTTTGTTCCCTCTCGGCTCCAGCAAGCGATGCCTGGCATCACCCAAAGCCGAGCAAGTGTCCTGACGAGAGCCAGCAAAGAAAAAAAAGGAAAATCAAAAGAGAGGAAACCAGGGACCGGAGCCAGAAAAAACTCTTCGCTTCTGCTCTAACAACCGGCGCTGCCAACCGCCTTCTGCAGAGCGGGGTTTCCTTC